CTTTCCTTACTGCCCTTGCTTCCGTGATCTTTGCTTTCGTTACTGCCCTTGCTTCCGTGATCTTTGCTTTCGTTACTGCCCTTGCTTCCATGTTCTTTGCTTTCGCTACTGCTGCTGCTGCTGCCGCTATCTTTGCTGCCATGGTGATGGTGCTTCTTGTGTTTCTTGTGGTGTTTTTTCTTGTGACCTAATCAATTTGAATGAAATTCTCAAATAAGTATCTTTCTATATATATATATACATCCAGCTTACTACATATACAACAGCGTTACCTGGAGCATTCTCACTCTCTCCGTGACTGTCAGAATCTGATCTTCGTGCTCTATCAAGTGCTGCTCCTAACTGCCATTCTTCTGATAAAACAATTGTCGAAATGAGGATCGTACAAAATTAAATGAACGCGTGTATTAAAAGATACATATAAATATTGTGCAATTACCAAAGTACAATGATTTAAAACCAACAAGGAGTTTTTAGTAATACATAACATCAGTGATTTAACATTTACCTGATTCATCAGGACTCAGTGGCGCAACACGTAGCTCGTCATTGTTAAAGTACGATCTTAGTACCCTATATAGCGGTGCTTCTGCAAGCTGCTGTTCATCTGATAAAACAAATTTCCGCACGGAAACCGTACAAAATTACGTGAACGTGCATCTCGTACAAAAAGTACAAATATCGTATAATTATAAAAACGAAACGGATTCAACCTAGACTGCAGTTTTCCCGAATAAACGAACGACTTAATATTCACCTGGTTCCTCGGGAAGTAGTGCCGCAGCATTCAGAGCCTCCTACAATTTCAATGTGGTTATCGAACCAATTTGCATGGCCATTTATGTCTCTTACTTTCCGAATAGTAGGACAAGGCGAAGCGTTACTTACGTTCGGCTCAGGCCTGCCGAGGCACAGCGCGCACCAGCTCAACAGCAGGAGGATCGCGAGCTTCATGTCGATCACCTCGGTTCAACGTCGAAAGGAAAGGAATATTTGGTCTGGGCTGGTTCTGCGTTTATATACACGGAAGTTGAATTGCATTCGAGCGATACGCCGCCGACAATCAATTATTAATAATAGGTTTCCCTTCAGGAACACGATGATCGATATTTGAAATTGCTTTTTTTTCAGGGATGCAGGTCCTTGGCTTTCAACGTGTAATTACGTTTAGGTTTCATTTGAATATGTTCTGGGACGAACACCCATTACACGAGGCACACATGTATATCAGCGTAACACGTACACTATATATGTAACGACAGTTGAAAGTGTGATGCGGTTAAACTGCTTACTCACGGTTGATAAGAGTAAACTGAAATTCGTTGATCACATTGTAGTCGCGGGGAACGTCCAGTGTTTTTATGACTGAAAGGTTTTCCTTTGCAGACCCCTAATCTTCTGCATTTGAATACTGATAACGGCACATAATCTCCAAGCAGAACATGTAAGTCTATTTGAATAATAACGTGAATAATAAGGAAAGAAGGGTAAGAAGTCGTTCGTCGGTGTTTGCCCGAGGCAGGTGGGAATTCCAGTGTTCGCAGGAAGCATCGGGAAACTACGTTCCGTGGAGCAAGGGGAACATCGTTGTGAACACCAGGAGTAATTCTTAATGTCAGGTATTATTAATTGAAAAGTTTGAATTTATTTTATTCGTATTTCATTGTGCTGTCGGAATTGAGATGTCTTGTAAACTCATCGAGTTTCGCTATGAGTGACTTGTTTCTAATACTTTCCCATGAACAACGATGAGTTGCATTGCCTAATGCATATAAAGTTATGTTTAAAAAAGAACAAAGATAATCTCTGTGACTTTCGCGGAAAAGAAACTCGGTCGAATAACGTGTTCCTCGAAATGTGACAGTTTTCGGTGTAAAATTCAGCGAACGCTCGGTGAAATATTGCCGCCCGAAATCGACACGAATCGAAATTTCGTTTCCTGGAATGACACTGATAACGTACGTGGAAACGGCTACCCATAAATACAGGTACACGGCGTAGAAGCACGCGTATTATCGTGAAAATATTATCGGCGAGTAGAAGGAAATAAAAGCGATACATATGCAAATAGTATGTACTTTATTTCGAGATAACCCAACGCATAACGTTGACTTAATATTTTACATATTTTTATAGTATCGAGCGCAGTGTTTGGTGCGTCAATCACTCCTCGACAGTGATCTAATTCAGCTAATTCGTTCCGGCCAAACTATCACTGGAGCCTCCTGTTAGAAAAGTTGGACGTTAATAATTACATTGAAATTTCCTCCGTTTTTATCGTTAGAATGATAAGAAACACGACTAACCTAATGATGTTTATGATAAGGAGGGAGCCATTTAGCAGAAAGTATTACTATGTAGTCGTATTATGAAAAATGACGCAGTTAAAGGAACAGTTATTGTTACACGTATACAAGTGACGAAGTCAGATATGTGTTCAATGCGGTATTTATTGCAAAGCGGGAACGAATATTTCATATGAGACATGAATGTGGTCAGGTACTGTTACGAATAGTTAAATCTTTACTTCTGTTGTGGTTGTGGGCCTCCTAGTTGTGGTTGTGGGCCTCCTAGTTGTAGTCGTTGTAGTTGTAGTCGTTGTAGTTGTCCTCCTAGCCTTCTTAGTTGTCCTCCTAGTGTCCCCATAACATGATTCGTCGTTCATAATTGCGCATTTATGAATCACTTGTAATTTACAACAGAAATCCAAGAAGAAACACTCTGAAATTCTCGTCTGGCAATTACGGTACAATAATTAGTACCCATGTTTTTCACAGTTAGAATAGCACTCTCTATAAGAATGCTTATTTTCATTGAAAATTTGAATTCAGTATATTCTGGAAATAAGTATATTTTCCCAAGAAGATTTCATTAAAGTATAGAACACTAGATTTACTGATGTTTGTTCTATACTTTATTCTATTGTTCCTAGGAAACTACGAGCTCGCCTATATAAATCGCGAAAATCGTAGCTGCAAAACTAGAGTATCGCGATACGTATTCGCGTAATTGCGAAATCGACTTGAACCGTTACTAAGATAATGTTTAAAAAGTTCAGTGTCCGTCAAATTGACGGATTCCGTAAGTCTAGTGTTGAATTCATTCGATACTCACCGCCGACACCTCTCTGTGCATGCACCATCCGTCGACGGAGTATGCCAAGCAGAGAACAATCATTAATATGTTAACAAGTGACATTTTTCCTTTCGACGTTACTCGATTTGTCGAGTACCTCAACTTGTCAAATTCGGAGCTAGAAAAATGTTCGTAAAGTTATCACGCCTGACGACGAGATTGCTGTCATTGCCAATACTCCAACGTTCTCCTCAGCGTGGATGATTTTAGACTGACTTCTCCAAATGTTTCCAGAAGATGGGAGATCTGTGGAGCTAGTTTCTTTTTGATTGGCAGTGGTACTCACCAATCGGACATCAACTTATTGACACCGACTTATTCCGTGATTACAGTGCCCTCCGCCACTTGACACCATGTTTGTCGCAACGCCGTATCGCTATCATTATCCCGACATATCATTTTTATCTAAAAAGATGGCGAATTTCTCTGGTGCGAGTGGCAGCTCGGGGAAAATTTAGCTGTTCACTTTTCCCTAAATGATTTAAGGCGAATATTAACCCTTCGCGGACGAATGTCGACACTTCGCCGAGATCTAACGTTCGTGTTTGTAATATTAAGTAGCAAACGAATGATTCAACTACTGAAACAGTAAGAAAATAGTACACAATTTCCTTATTCTATATTGTTTAGGCGTTCGACGTGTGATTTGGCGGAATCTACAAAAGGTTTTGCGTACTCTAGAGAATCTTCGTCCGCGAAGAGTTAAGGAACAGAATATGTCGAAGCTGATCTAGAGCGTTTAATAGTACTTATACTTCATAGAAACAAGAAGTTGTAACTTTTGTGATCTTCCAAAGTATGGTATGTCTCGAAACAATCACCGATATGAAGTTCCTCGTCTTTTCCCTGGAGTTTTCCCGTCGGAAACTGCAGTCTTCCCTGGTTCCCGAACGAATTAGACGAAGCTGATTATTTAACCTATTGTCTACGGGAAACGTTGACGGCTCCGTTCCAGATAGTGTTTCGTGAATTTCGAAATCAGAATTTTCAAATAAATAAATGATCATGAATAAGATGGTACGGAGAATTTCGAAATTCCTCCACTGGCATTCTGCAAACTTGCGAGTTGGCTTCCTGCGTTAACTCGAAAAGGATACAAAGAATTATCTGAACGCTTGTAAGCTATCGATGGTAATGTTATATATTCCGCTGTTTTTCCTATCTCCAGTTGGAGCCGCAATTGTTGGTTAAACCTTCGGCCCTAAGCGATGACCTCCGTTACAGTGACTTTCCGTTTTCCGACTTAACTCATCTACGTGATTAGACGCGTGTAACAGTGATGCCGCATAAAAGGTATTCATCAAATTGAATATACAATTCCATTATCAGTGGAAATTACCGATACCGAATATCTTCGATCAATAGCGGAAGTTGTGAACCTGAAAACACAAAAGACTTTCTGCTACTAGATAGCTGCAACCCATGAATAATTCAAATCATTCGGATATTTCAGAAACCCGGAAATAGGTCATCAGGGAAACAACCGTTCCAGGGGATTTCTCGGTTAAACAGATCGGGAAATTTAATCAATTCTGTGTTGACACTTTACAGGTAACGTACAGGTTACAATTTACTATCAAATGCAGCGAATTAAAATATAAAAAATTGATGGAACACGTCAAGTAATTTCTGGCAGAATTTATTGGTCAGGTAAGCACCGTAGCCGATGGCGTTCACTCGGAGCTGAAACACGAGAGCAACATGATTTCCTGTTGGAAAATGAAATAACAATAATGTGAGTGATTATTTAACACGTTGACTGCCACGGTGGTCACCGGAGCTTCCAGATTACTTGAACACGATCACAATATGGAAATCGATATAAAAATATTTAGTAACGTAAGTAGATAGAGTACAGTGATATCAAATCATTAATAATTATTTCTAATATCATTTACCTTCGTGGCAGTCAACGTGTTAACCCTTTGCGAACGAAGATTCTTTGAGATGCACGAAACCTTCAGCAGATGAAGATAAATTATATATTAAAGTGTTTTTTTTAAACCTCTGGCATTCAAACGGTTAAACAATAGGAAAATCAGAAACTACCTAATCTCTTGTTGTCCAAATAATTAAATCACTTGCCTGCGACTCAGTCTTCCAAATATGAGCGTTTCACCTCGCAAATGTCGGCGTTCGTCCGCAAAGGGTTAACACATTGCGTACCGGCTAATTATCAGACAATTAGGTTATCATTTATGTTATCATATATATTAGGTAATCAGGTATCATATTGTTATGTAATATACTTTAAATGGACAATTAGTTCTAACCAAATTTAATATTTCCTTAACACTAGAACTACGTACTAGTCGAAATGACTGGTTTCGATGTCTTTGCTTAGCAATTATTGATATCTTCGAAGTGATTTTGAAAATAAATAGTTTCATTTCAGTACTATAATGAACGTCTGAAGAAACTGAAAATAATCTATTGTTACAGTTTTTACAGGAATTGCATATTAATCGTATTAAATGCTCGTTCCAGTGTTAAATGCTGTGGTAATCATCAAAGTTACATCCCTAAGAGTCATAATATAAAAATACGAGATTTCTCGTTACCAGTAGGCAATGTGTTAATCATTTCCACATGATTCGATGGAGTAGACACTCACGTTCAGAGTGATCCCGTAAAGGTACACGAAAAGCTTCGCCGTCACATTGAACCAAGGTTTGAACTGCTTCATGCTGACTCCGGTGTCTCTCAGGAGAGCCACGAACCAGCTCCACAATAACTTTACACCGGCGATATTGCAAAAATCGTGGACGTACATGGCGGTGGCGGTATTGTTCATCCCGAAGAATTCGGAGATCGGCATCATCGCGCTATTCAACGCTGATTCCAATGCCGACGATTCCATATACGCTGGAATACAGTGGCGTGTCATAAATAATTTTTCATCGGCGAAGTTACTATTGTCATTCGTGTCGAGAGCTGATAAGAAGCGTAATTAGTTCGTGCGACTTCATAGTTGGTTTCTCGTGTGACAGTGAAAAATAGTTTTTCAAGCGTGTCTGGTCACTAATCTCACCTGCGTTCCTTTTCGTGTGACTTACATCGTCGGAGAAATTTGTGCTCGCTATCTTTAGAATGTTAATTGCACTTATCGTGATATTGTGAAATTAAACATGATTGTTGTGTTAGGATTTGTGATTAATGGAATTATAGTAGAAGTGGTAATAGAATTGGAGATTGTATTATAATGAATAGTACGAAATGATGAAAGATTAGTTCTAAAGTGATAAGGAATATAATTATTGTATGCTAATTGTAACGTTTAAATTATGTTGTAGAAAAATAAAAGGAAACGTACACATGCATGCAACGTCACAGTCTACCTTGGTGCTTCGTTTGTGTCGTCCAGCTAAACGAAGAACAGAGATTATTACTCCACCATGATCATCGACACGTAAGTATCACCGATATTATCACTGATACCCAACAGATTTGCTCGGTTTAAATAGATCGGTGTCTTTTATAAGATGCTTATTTTATTCACCTTGCTGTACCTGTCCGGTAGAGTGACTGTAACTTCCACTGCTGTCCACATTGCAATTCACACTTGTTTCTCGTTCAGCAATCGCACTTCCAAACTAGAGTTTCAATGTAACCAACGAACAGCGAATCAAAAATTTAAAATAGAGGAACATTAGTAAAGATTGAAATACAGTACTTCACTATCTTCGTGTATCCTACTATTAATCCAACATTGTTCTATTTTCAACAGTAGATTCCAAGAGAGTTTCCAGTGAATTCTACTTAACTCCTGATCTCGCGAAACAATCCATTGTCTTACGAATCGGTGCAAAGTCCGAATAATAAGCATAGAATTTAAAATAGAGGAACATTAGTAAAGATTGAAATACAGTACTTCACTATCTTCGTATATCCCACCATTATTTCAACATTGCTCTATTTTCAACACTAGATTCCAAGCTTCCAACGAATTCTACGTAACTCCCCATATCGCTATCAAAAATTCTGATCTCGTGAAACAATCCATTGTCTTAAGAATCAGTGCAAAGTCTGAGTAATAAAAAATTTAAATAAAGACTGAAATACAGTACTCCATTACTATCTTCGTATATCCCACCATTACTTCAACATTGCTCTATTTTCAACACTAGATTCCAAGCCTCCAACGAATTCTACGTAACTCCCCATATCGCTATCAAAAGTTCTGATCTCGCGAAACAATCCATTGTCTTAAGAATCAGTGCAAAGTCTGAGTAACGTTACTATGCTCGTCTTTTCACATAACTTTGAGAAAGTTTCTCCTAATCATTTTCTTTTGTAATTCTCGGAGTACACGTTACTTACGGTCAATCGATCAGGCATGGCGAGCGTCACCGCGCAGTAGCACAGCATTAAATAGATCGCGAGCTTCATTTTAGCCGCTTCGAATGTCCGCTGAAATTTGCAGACGAGCTAACTTCAACCCCAACTGTTTTCTTCGTGCGTGTTGCGAAGCTCAGTTATATATATAACAATGAGTGCGTATGAACAGAGGTTTTACCGTCTGAACGTAACTGTCGGTGCTCCTTGTGATTGGTTTAGACTCGTTAGGCCTTGGCATTCGCTTTAAGGATGATTCCACTTTACTCGTTGAAATGCTGTCTCGTATGATTAATGATTACAGAAGGACAAGTATCGGGTTTATAACGACATGAATATGTTTCGGGTGCAAGCTCTAATTCTAACGATCGATCACGTTCGCTACCAATATAGTTTTCTGACGATCGCCATCCTAGACGTAGAAAGTATGAAATTAACGATATTCGTGTTGTTTAATGTTGAAACATGGAATTGTGTTTTTTTTATTCGTCTTTTGTTTCGTTTTTAGAAGATTCAATGTTATTATCAAATAAATAAGTTTATATAATTAATTAGACGTTTTTATTGTGATGGGATTAAATGGAGAATAATTAGACGATTGTTGTAGTAATAAGTTGGAGTAAATTTATTTATTGTTGAACAGTATTGTGAGCAATGATAGCCTGTTAAATGATAAGTTGGAGTAAATTTATTTATTGTTGAACAGTATTGTGAGCAATGATAGCCTGTTAAATGTGACTTATTACGAATGCCAGTGACTTTGATGGGCGAAAAGCCATTTCTGGTGTATTTCAGTTCAATATCTGCTTCATGAAAATTAATAGCGAGGAATGTTGAATACATTCAGGTACATTTGTTTTACGACACAATGCATCGTTCGAATGTTTGTCATCGTTTGTTCGCTCGAATTGCATTTTAATGCTTCGATGCAGATTCTATGAGAATGTGTTGAGACTCTTGTATACTTCGAGCATTAACACTAGAACTGACTGGTTTCAGTTTTTCTGTTTCGCAATTATTGATATCTCTGAAGCATTGAATATCCGAAATGATTTTGAAAATAGTTTCACTTGAGTGCTATGATGAATATCCAAAGAAACTGAAAATAATCTATTGTCACAATTTTTATAGATTGCATATCAATCGTATTAAATGCTCGGTAGTTCGAGTGTTAATCACTGTCGAATATTTTAAGTCGTTTTCCATGAAATCTAATTACTACGGAAAGTTCATTCCATAGACTAACAATTTATACTAAGATGTATAAATGAATTAATAAAACTTTGTTGTTTCAGGTCAAACGAAGACAGACAATAGAAGACGACAGAACAACCTCTGATCACCCTGTCAAAGAAGAAATGAACTCTATTGTAGGTTTCATTTGTTTTCTCACTGAGAAATTATTTCCATGGTGTTTTATAAGAAACTGAAAGAAGTATTAAGAATATTTTTCATTGAAGTCTCTCCTTCAAAGTCTGAAACGTAGGACTTATGCACTCTTTTGCAACTCTTCATTTAAATGTTGATAACGGATCACTTCCTCGCATATGACTTATCAGTCAGTTCGAATGTTGGCATTAATGGTAATGGATGGATACCGAAACTATACATAACACGAGGAGAAATTTAATATTTAAGTACTGCATGCAAAACGTTTAACTATACTAAGGTTCCTTATGCTGTGCATCAATTTTATGTTAAAGGATTTCTCGAAGAGATGAATCAATGTTACATCGATCGTTACATTCGGAATTGCGGATACTCATTTAACTCTTTGAGGCACACGGTTTTCTCGATTCATTGCTGTTGGCGAATATGCGAAAACATGAGTAACGTGTACACAAACAATATTTATTCGGTTTAAGGACATTCCTTTATTGCTTACAACAAAGAACTTTTAATACAATACTGTGTGCTAATAGTACTATGTGCATTGTAAATCATATTCCATTATCCTTCTCTTCGACGCCATGAATTCAATGATCCACTCTCTTGGATGATGAGTAGTCATTCTCCACTGAATCACTGGATGAACAAACAAATTCAGTTATTAAACAGCAATTTTCTATTCTGAATTTAACGTGTGCATCGACTACATTAAGGTTAGATATTTCAAGAACATCTTAAAATAATATTGTCCGAACGATTTTAAGTAACACGTAAAAATCCTAGTGTGCAAATGAATAATGTAAATATTCAAATGGCTTGTAGTCTGATTCTTAAATATTATTACTCACGTTTATCATTGTTTGGTGTTCCCGAATGGGGGATCAGTTTGTTAACCTTGTCTGTCAGCGTAGATATTACCCCAAGTTGGATTGCTCGATGATCCAGTGCCACCCAAGCTACCGCCTAGTCCAGCTCTTACTGGAGGTCTTCCATCACCACGTGTTGCGTATGAATATAAATTTCCATCTACGGAACATTTGCTTTATTTAACATTAAATAGCCCGTTTGAACATTATTATTGTACTTTCACTGATATTGCAAAGCTTTCGTGAACGAGATTGTAAAATTGCAAACTTGTGAACTTTTAAGCTTGTGAAGTTGTGAACTTGTAAGCTTGCAAACTTGCAAACTTGCAAATTTATAAAATTCTAAACTTGTAAATTTTTAAACTTGTACACTTGTAAACTTGTGAACTTGTGAACTTGTAAAATTGTAGAATACATATGTGCATTTGGGTAAGTAAAACAATAAGACACACGCTCAATCTCAAAATAACATTGTTTTAAGTTTCATACGAAATTATGTATAAGGACCCTAGTTGCTCGATAATTCTGGTGTTGAATGAAACAAATTGATAATATTAATGAACGCTTATCCTTTCAATTATCTATCTAAGTCTACGAATCAGTTGCCATCGTCATAACCAGAGACGCAGAACAGAAAGGCGTTAAAATATAATTAGTGGACTGTGAGTGTTGATTAAGAATGTTTAATGTGGTTTTTTTTTGTTTTAGGTGCGGCATTGCAGTCGATACACTTCCTTGATTTTTTGTTCGATGATGATGATTAAGAAGATTGGGGGCGATTAGGTCAGAACGAGAATTAAAAATACTTGGAATAATTGTCTCTGCTCACAATGATGTTATAACAGTCCTATAACAAGAAATCGAATGCTTCACGTTCTCAATCTATCGGTAAATTTGCATAAATATCCTCTGCTCGTAATTATTCAGTGATTCACCGGGAGAACGAGTTTATTGCGATGTTTACCGTAGTTGGATTGTAAAAAATATTATAATTCCTCTTCTGGATACGTCATTCGAATGACTCTGTTGACTGTTAACTTGCAGCTCACAGTTTATTAACTATAAGACAAATTAACACTAGAACTACTAACAGTCCAATAAGATTAATATGCGATTCTTATAAAAATAGATATCTGGTAACAATAGATTTTTTCCAGTTTCCTTATACATTCAGTTCTAAGATGTATATTCTATGTCTAGAATCTTTTTTATTTTCAATGAATTATTGATAATAAAGTAGTTGTATCGATCGCAGCTGAGAAATAAATCGCAAGGCAGAGTTAAAAGACTGCAGCGTACTGATTTCAGTCATCGATTGATACATCGTACAATGTTTGCAACGATTTCATATAATGTAACGAATGAAATGAACTTGACCTTCTCTTCTGCAGATGCATGACATTCAACGAGGTAAATAAATAACGTAACGTAAGAACGTACGATAGCAAGTAATTAGTAATTATATACAATAAGCAATGTCATTCAGAACGCCAACAATGCCCATAGTAATCGACGTGTTAAGAAATTCAGTGCTATACTAACTGGTGTTGGAAGGATTCAACAATCCTTGCAAGCCGGCGCCGGCTTTAGCTCCCCAGGGTGTCCCTGCGCTGACATCATATCCACCCCCAAGTTGGGAGCCATCCGCGTTAGCGCGTCGTCCGACTTGAGCGTGGAAACCACCGAAATTCACCTTGAAGCCCCCGTCGCTAGACTGAAGCCATGGGATCTGGGGTTGCGTCAAAACGGAACGAATTAGGAAATGTATCGTGTCGCTGATATTTCATCATTGTGTCATTATTATTTCAATAAGGCACTTTAAGGTATTCGACATTTTAAAATATGAAAGTGTAAGGTTTACAAAAATGTGTAATTTCAGAAAAAGTATGCTGGAGACAGAATAGAGTGCATTAATGTAATACGATATATATTGTTAATATAAATGATATGTTGAATATTTAATATTTCAAATTAAACTTCATAGTTGAATATTTAATATTTCAAATTAAACTTCATAGTTGAATATTTAATATTTCAAATTAAACTTCATAGTTGAACATTTAATATTTCAAATTAAATTTCATAGTTGAACATTTAATATTTCAAATTAAACTTCATAGTTTTGTAGTATCGAACCACGTGGTGACTGAGAATTTGCATTGCTACGTGAAATATTGAAATAAAACACCTCTGTCGATTAATTTATCTATAAATAATTAAATTAGTTTCAAGCAATATATCCTACATCTCGTCAGAAAATGTTGAATATTTCCATTGAGAAACTTTCGAGAGCAAAGGGTTAAGTCAACTTTGTGCTCACCTGTGACTGTGGCATCCCATGAGCTAGGGCCAGCAAACAAAGGCCAAAGATCACAACTACCGCACCGCGCAGCATCTTTCTGTCTACTGGCTAGCGCTGTCCACTGCCATCGAACGTATACCGGTGTTTTATAATAATACCACGAACTCATTTCATACTCAGCGGACGAAGGTAGGAGGAGTCCAAAAAAAAACACAAGCTAGTTACAGAGTTCGCTCACGATCGACGCTGATTATGAGTCACATAGTAAGTTAATCGTATAAGAATCCCACCGTGAATCCTGAGTTCAAGGATTCGTGAAAAAATTTCACACGTTCGGTACACGAAATTATATAGCCGAAGTTTCGATTCAAAGTGGATAGCGATTATGTCAGTTTTTAGCTGAAGGTAATTAACTGTAATTTACGTTCTGTTTCCTTTAGGGCACAACGAAAGAGGAGATTCAGACGTTCAAGGTCCATAGATGATTATTATCGTGAATTCATCGCTAGCGAACGCAACAAAGAATAAGAGAAGCAGCGAATCATACTTATTTCGAGGTACTCGATCGTTTATTTATTTGGATACAACAAATTATCATATAGTATTCGTGTTGTAATATGGATTTTCGTTGATTCGTGTTAGCCTTTCCTTTCATTACCAGTTTCCTCACTGTAAATATTTTTATAATTAATCTTTACTGAAATATTTTTATAATAAGTCTAAGAAGACAGTTAGACAGTTATAATTGAACCTTTAACCCTTTGCGGTCCGAAGTGCTCTTGGTTTCATTTTGAGGTTCACGTTAGTTCATTCAATTACAGCTTAACATGACGCTCTTATCAGTATCAATTATAATTTTCTTACTATGTCTTTCAAGAAACAAATCAAAGTAAATTTATTTGAATAAATGTTATTTTTCGATATTTCTTTGTAATAACACAATATCTGTGATCTCATTAGATAAATACTCTTATTAATTTTTATGCGTACACACCCAATCACTTCATTGTTGGTAAATATCCACAAAAGTTGTTCAACATCCAAACGGTTAATATTGTATTTTTTCCATTTTGTATTTTGCTCAATGAAATCGTGCTCGTGTTAATAAATCCACGTTCGTTTTCATGAAGAGATGTTCAAAAGTCAGTTGAAGTCGGTAGTTCCAGTGTTAAATACTTCTTGAAGCTCAACGGATTATCAAAGATGTTCAAGCAATCCAGAACGCACGGGTATCTACTCGAGATGTCAACCGTTTCGCATTGTTGAGTCCCGGATTGGTAAATACTACTCACCGGGAACCGTGGCACGTGCCATGCGCAAGCTCCACCGAATAAGGCTGAAAACGATAACTACCACGGTACGCAACATCTGTCTGATAATTGGCTGACAAGCACTTGCTACTCGCTGTATCTTATCGAACCGGGAAAAAGTACGCCGGAGTTATCTGTCGCCGACGCAGATCGCAAGGAATAATTACATAATCTGTTTACGATACGCATAAATAAAGTACACCGAGATTACTGGGGTCAAAGACAGCCAGCGTCGCGCGTTGTCTTTTCTCATTCTTCCGCTCCGATCATCCGTTTCCTTCTTCAGACACGGTTGCACTATGGCCGACACTGATTCATCAGTTTCCGGGATGCGCACAGGTGACTGCTGTGACGCAGGAAAACTGACCGAGCGTTCGACATTGTACAATCGCTTCCCCAGGGGAATTCGGGAATTGGCGATCCCGGGGTCCTCAGCTAGTGTTGACGCTCGGTGTAACTGAAACACCGTTACGTCAGCGTTCCTCTAAACCTTTCAAGAGATCGTAGCTCAAATAACTTTATGAAGCCATCGACCATTACCTTCAACGACCACCCTCAGCTGTTCGAGGATTAGCATTTTTACATTTTAGATATTTATTCTTTGCATGTTTTATTAGGGCGCTTCATACAGTTTTTCACCTGCTACGGTCGAGGCACTCGGAATTTCCATGATGTCACGCGAAGGTACTCTCGATACCTGCAGGTGACCGATGGACTTGGAGACGGTCAACTTTCCGGTGACTGTCACCAATCAGGAAAAACGTCCTCCCTGTCCAAAACGTAGAACTCTAGGAGACCACCAATCCGCGTGTCTCATCCCCCGACGCTACCCTTACAGCCACCCATTTAAGGGTAGATCTTAACACATATCAGCGAACTTCTAACCAAGAGTTCCACGGAGTCTCTAACGAAGAGTTCCACCGCAACACGTATCGACGGAATTTCTCATCAAGAGTTCCACAACGACACACATCGACGGAATCTCTAACCGAAGAGTTCCACCAACAACACGCATCAACGGAACATCTACCGAAGAGTTCCACAAACAACACGAATCAACGGAATATCCGACGAAGAATTCCACAACTTAACGTATCGACATCGATCCAATTACAGCTGATCGAAAATCTCATTATTTCATTCAGGCTCAGCATCACTAATCTGAAACTGAGCCAGAGCATCGCCGTAACTAACTGCGAAGCTCAACAGCTTACTTAGGAAGTATTGATATCTTCGAAGCATTGAATATTCGAAATGATTTCGAAAATAAATAGTTTCAGTACTATACTGAATGTCTGAAGAAACTGAAAATAATCTGTTGTTGTAATTTTTATAGGAATTGCTTATCAATCGTATTAAATGCTCGGTAGTTCTAGTTAACCCTCCGCACTCGAGAGGTCAGTCACTTTATTTGACACAGCAAAACTACAGTTGAATATTTAGTATTTAAAATGAGACTTTATACTGCTATGTGAAATATTTGAATAAGCTTTGTTGCTTAACTTATCTGTGAATTATCGTTCAATTCAAATATCTCGTCGGAAAATGTTGAAAAAACTTCCGAGTGCAAAAGGTTAATCGCAGCATATCGGAATAAATGTTCATTGAGACGTTACTTCAATTTCACCGCGTCGTTGATAGCGAGAAGGCGAAGAATATGGGAATGCTGGTGAATTCCGTGCTAAGTATCCATTTCGCAAGTAAACATTTCGCATTTCGATACAAACATTTCGACGATAAGCGTATCTCGCACGATTACTATTTTCCTCGACGATTATCTCCGCTATTTCAATCGCGTGGCAAATCTTGCCGTTGACCTAGACAATCGTTGCGAAATCAACAGAACGTCCGTCCGTCGAGCCCGCATACGAGTGTTTTCGAGTGATCGGTAAAGTGAACGACACAACCTGGTAGGAACACGAGAAAGTCTGGCTGGAGGCGATTCTTCTATTGTTATTTAATTCAATACACCGTTGAACTTCATGGATTTACAATAATTAAGCGCACCGAGTAGAAGTTAGGTCCCCTAGAGACTGCTGACTAACCTGTAAGCGAGCGACAGGAACAACCTGGCGACGCTCAGTACGCCGAATATGGCGTGTCCTGGGAACTGAAAGAAGAACGGCACCGTTAATGCAGAGCAGCGAGTAGAATCAGTATACCGTCGAAGCTGATACTTACGAACGCGACATTGAAAACGGTGTATAGGATTCCCTGCGCGGTAGTTGCAACTGATGATATGATCGATCCGAGGGAAGTGTCATTGAAGATGTACTCAATGAGTCCCGAGATGTTTTCGATACTGTCGGTTCCTAGGAGCAAGCCGATAACGTAAGCAACGTTATTCACAGTTACTACGCTTGGGAGTACACGCGTGATCGCTGAAAAACAATAGGACATCAGTGTTCACGTTTAAACCTTAGTAGTCTTATGTCGAGTCCGACTCGACATTCTATTTTATTGCAACCAATGGCTGTTTTAACCCTTTGCACTCGAGAGGTGACTCTCAGTCACCACTTGATTTGACACAGTAAAACTACGAAGTTGAATATTTAATACTTCAAATTAAACTTCATAGTTGAATATTTAATATTTCGAATTAAACTTCATAGTTGAATATTTAATATTTCAAATTAACCTTCATAGTTGAATATTTAATATTTAATTATAAACAGCACAAATACTTTTCCACTCTAAAATGAATTGGAAATATTAGTTTACTGCAAGTTACCAAAATATCTTCCAGTTCCCATAAGTACGCTATCTTAACCCTTTGCAGTCGAGAGGTGACTCTCAGTCACCACTCGATTTGACACAGTAAAACCATACAATGTGATATTTAATGTAAAACTTTGTATAATGCCTCGATACGTGAAGCATTGGAATAAAACAGCGTTGTTCCTCAATGTACTGGTGATTTCTCTTCGAATTCTCAAAGAACATCGTCTTCGCCCCGCCAAGAAATTATACATATTTCTAGTAAGAAACATCCGAGTGCAAAGGGTTAAAATACTGCAGTGTACTGATTTCAGTCATCGATTGATACATCGTATAACGTTTGCAACGATTTCATATAATGAAACGAATGAAATGAACTTGACCTCTGTAGTGCTAAGGGTTAATATCTCAATCTGGTGGCACTTACAAAGAGCGGACGATGAACTTCTTGACTCTGAACTACTTTCGCCGTCTCCCGAGCCACCTGAACCAGCTGTACTCGACCCAGCACCGTCGCCGCCCTCGGCGCTACTGCTTCGTGAGGATGATTCCGAACTTCCTTCTGTTGGTTCCGTGCCAGCACTGCGGGCTTTTATATTCAATAACAAACCGGGCGAATCCGCGCCATCGCCTTCGTCCGCTGATGGTAAAAAAAGACTTTCTTCATTCAACAGTATATGCTGTTGGCGCTAGAGATACTACACCTGTCAGAATGATCCTCGAAAGAGGGTTTGCGGAATGTCAGGCGTTTTCTGTGAAAAGGGGTGGTCACAGGAGATTTTCAAGTGCAACGCGTAGATCGAATTGGGACACTTCTAAATTTTCAATTGCAACAAAATGACTATTGCGACACCATTGATGAATGTATACTTCGGCTTTTCAACGTTTCTAATTTTTTATTTTACCGTCAAATCTCTAACGTGTTACCTAGTGCTGACAGTGGATTATTGCAACCACTCTCGTCTCCGTTGCAGCCGAGATCACGATGTGATTTTGAGTGACATTCGATCTTTTACTTAAATTTTCTGATTATTTCATACTGCATTTCCAAACGGTTCTGAGCTTTTAACCAGTTAACTGTGTTTGATGAGTATACACGTCATCTTAAAACTCTTAATAGTGCTAACTTTTTCGACGATGGATTATTAATTTTTTGAGACAAACATGTAATTATTCCTTGTTTCATTTGGCTTGCATTTAACAAGTATACACTTCATTATTTGATCTTATTGTACAATGAGAAATTTTTCAAACTAAATTCCACACTTAACTGGTTAAAATTTCGGCCCTATCAACGAAAACAATGACATTTCAATCATTCCTTTTATTCTGATAAGTGACCGAGAGTCACATCGTGGTACAATTCGTTATAAAAGCACGTGGTACGATTAGGGCGCACGGACTGCAGTTCTTTATACATTCGTAACGCATGGAGACCTTCAGAAATTGATAGAATAATAAAATTCATTTGTCTACTAATAAAAACTGTGTGATATTTACCTCCAGACAGCGATTGGTCTGATATGTCTGAAACGGAAAGACCTGATAGGAGCTCCTGAAAATTATAAAATAACGAAAACTTCATCGCGATCATTAAACTTAATTTAAGATATCTTTAATTTATTATTAACTTAATATGAGATATGATCATTTAATTTAATTTGCCTGTTCGAACTTTGGGAACTATCGTTCGACACTATCTCCTCTACAGTTCCTGGTCAACAAATTGCCACTCATTGCTTCTCATATATTTACCAATCACATTGTTTCAAATTCAAAAGGCGATTTGACAATTGTCACATCGTTAAAAAGTTAACACGTTAACACGGCTCACAGTAAGATATCACATTAGACAGTGCGTACCATTGATGGCTCATTAGACAGTGTGCGGCATAAAATATGTAGCTCGTCAAGTGATTTCGTAATTAGAAAACATTGCCACATAATTGAGAATTAATTTACTTATCGATCATTTCAATATTTTCATCAATTTCGAGAATTCAGCCAAATGGCAAAGAGTGGAAATTACACCGGTGTGTAGCATCAAATATGTGGTTCATCAAATAGTTCGGTAATTAGAAAACATTGCCACATAATTGTGAATTAATTTACTTACTGGTCATTTCAATATTTCTATCAATTTCGAGAATTCAGTCACCAAATGGAAGAGTGGAAATTACACCGGCGTGTAGCATCAAATATGTGACTCGTCAAGTGATTTTGTAATTATAATTGTAATTTACTTATTAATATTTATATCAATTTCGAGAATTCAGCCGCCAAATAGAAGAGTGGAAACTACACCGGTGTGAACGTGTTAAGCAAAGAAATTAAGCTCGAGTCAGAGCATATCACCGATTTTCTCTAAGATGACATCGACAGTGGCCCTAACTTTGTTCAGAGACTTCGTTCCCTTTCATCTATCTCTACATCTACCTTCCCTTTCCGCATATTTCCGATTTCTCCGTTTTCTGAACGTTACTTACGCTCACAGATTGAGGCCTGGCGTGCGCCAGCACGCACCAGCTCAAAGCTACAAGAATCGCGAGCTTCATTCTTGAATGTCAACGTGCACGCTATCGCGTCTCGAACTGGCAGATAAGCGATGCTACCTGAAACCACTTGGTCCCCTTCCTGTTTATTTCGCGCGTCCACCCCCGTTTATATACATCACGTGCGAATTATGTTGCAGCGATATGCCGCTAATAGGAAACATTATATTCAGAGTAATTATCAATGCTCCTCGTGATGTTAGGTGACCGAGACCTTGCTTCGAAACGATTAGCCACGTTTTCTGGTGTTTTGAATACGTTTTGCGGCAAATTGCACGGTTACATCGAGATACATACATCAGCGCGTTACGTAAACGGCGAACTTCAACTTGACCTGCGAGTCTGGTGCAATCTATTGCGACTGATGGGGGTGAGTTGTTAATTACCCTTTCATTCTGCAGGTTATCGACGAAATGAATGAATACGATTCTTTTTACAGGGAGATATTTGACGTTTGAAATCAGTATTTTATCTTTATTCAATGTTTATGGTGACTGGGATGAAGTAATAATGAAAGAAATTTAATTTGAAGAGATTTAGTCTAGCTTAAATTCAAATTTAATTTGAGTAGATTTGAGTCTAGCTTCGAATATATTTTAAGCTTTTAGCTTATTTCAAGATTTTATTAAGCTTTTGAATATATTCTTAAATTAGGGATATTGCTGTTAGTATCGAGAATCGACGGAACGATTGAATTTTAGCGATTGACGGTGTCGATGATGCATATTTGATTAGTAATTCAGAAACAGGTTGTTTTATGGTAACGAAGGATTACGATATCAAAATTGGATATATCCTTAAAGTATTTATTTATTTACAATAATGTTATACATTCATGAGGGGATCGTAGAAAATACAAAATGGAGGCACGTTTAACACTTTGACTGCCACGTCATCCGAATTCGGGTGACATTTTTTACAGAAACGTGGACATTAATTTTCATGACGTTTCGAACGAATTTTGTTGGATATATGAGATATAAGAAAGATGGTGGAGCTATTATTAAGAATCTTGATTTCTCAGTTTCTGGTTAATGGAGAAAACTGTTTCGAGTACATGGGAGTTTTGATGAGTGTTCACGTGGCAGTCAAAGTGTTAAAAGGAATAAAGGCGCAACGGTTTAAGAGAAGATAGGGGATAAAGGTGTCGAGTCGGATATTTTATTTTCAAGGTGTTCTATAAAAACGCATACAAAATGTTTCCTTTAATACCAATATATAAAATTCCATTACCAAAAAGCTACGCACTATAATTACGCAATAGACGGTGAGAATTTCGAGCGCACGTAATACTGCGAGTTAACCGACGTTATTGTTTAATAATCGGTTGACAGCGTTTAGCGTCGATATCGGTATCTGGAAGAAATAATTATAAGGTTAATTACTTCGTAAATTGCACGTTATCTGTGTGTATCATTAGAAGCGTAGTATGACGGTTCTTTCACTTGAATTCGTTAACGACATAAAACGTAAATAATTTCCTTAATCTCTTCATATTGAGAAATATCTTTGAAAAACGGAAGCTACGATTTAGTTTAACATTAGAACTATCATTTAATACGATTAATATGCAATTCCCATAAAAATTGTAACAATAGATTATTTTCAATTTCTTCAGACATTTAGTATAGTACTGAAACTATTTATTTTCAAAATCATTTCAAAGATATCAATAATTGCTAAACAAAAAAATCGAAACCAGTCATTTTGACTGGTAGTTCTAGTGTTAATACACACTAGCAAAGACCAAATGGAAAGACTAACAGCAATTTCTGCAGTCCAATTTCCAATGAAACACAGAAAGAAGTATCTAATCAACTCAGTCGATCTTTGATGACAGTTCGAAGCAAGTTTCAGTACTCAAATTTCTTCAGATTGCATCATACGAATTTCCAGTTGAACAAACATTGGTAGCCTCCAACCGTCCACGAGACACGGGACTTACATTAAAGATGTCGTCGAACAATCCATGATTTTCGTTGGTGGTCTGCGCTGGCTGACTGTTCGTTTTCACCACGATCGAACTATGCCCGGCTCCTTGAGCCTGTCGACGGGCGATCTGCTGAGTGTCCGCGGTCGAAGGATCCTCAGTCTCCACCGTACTGCTGTAGACGATCTGCTTTCTAGGCCACCACAGTCTTTTCCTGAAGGCCCGTTTCGGATACACGACTGTCACCTCTTGGCTGTTACCTTGAGAACAGGATTGAATGTTATGCAAATTATAAATCTCGGTTCTGGGAATGGCCAGGACTCACCGACCGGTACCACTTCGTTGTTTTGGCTCGATAGGAGAGGCACAGGGGGAGCTGGCTCGACAGTCTTAATTTTTGTTATTGTCTTCACTTTTCCCACCGGAGATACCGCTGATGCCAGAGCCGGTTCCGCTTCAACGGAGCCGGAAATGTTTGTTGTTACACTGGCTGCTACTGGTTTTGACTGCTTTACGTGTATTACCTGGTGGAATCGTATTTATTATTTATCATATTCATCGCTTATCATATTTATCATTCATCGTATTCATCGCTCATCATATTCATCATTCGTTATATTCATCTTCTTTATGCACCCTCTTCACATTATTCATAATATTCATCATATTCATCATATCATCATATTCATCATATTCATCATATATCATCATATCACATGTTCTTCATATTCATCATATTCATCATATTCATCATATTCATCATATTCATCATATTCATCATATTCGTCATATTCATCATATTCATCATATTGACCATGTTCATCATATTCATCATTATAAAATCTTATTCTAATTATTTTCTGCCCCATCACCATGAAAAGTATTTAACATTCTATAGGCTTGCGTGGCTTTGAGGTAACGTACTGATATATGGAAATTCTCTTGATTAATTTAACTTTTTATCGAATGACATTGAGTAACCAATTAATTTAATCTTCATATTGTTCATAACGTTGTGAAACGATTACACTTGTGAGTAGAATAATTTTCAAACTATCAAGAAATTTTGTGTACCATAGACCACTGATTCTCAATAATTTAAATGATCCGAATTTTCCAATCAAAGAGAAATTGTCATCTTCACTATCCCTGTTTCTATAATTTTTGATGAATTTTCTATCATTCGTAAGTGTAAGTTAAATTATAAATCATATAGAGTACATATGTCAAGAAGAAAGCGCGCACTGTAATTAGCCGATAATTACCGCGACTAGTGCAAGCATATTTATAATAAGCTCACGCTGTAATTTCAGTGTTACGTGGCTAACTACAAGCGAGGTAAGTACTATGATTAGTATTCACAACGAAGGGATTATGCTGCATTGTAAGCATGTCACTTCACCAGAAAATAGGTCCGAGGATTTAATGACAACTAAGGATTCACTGTGTCGTCTGTTTAATGGTATCGTTAGATGATTTAACCGATACTGTTCACGTTACTTATCGAATTCGCCTTTATTTTTCATACGTCTAAATGAGTTTCAAGCAACAATACTAATGCCTTTATTTCTATGTCTTTATTTCTTATCTTCTCAACATAATTTCAATAAAAAACAATAGGCAAGAAACTTACAAAACTTAGATACAGTTACAGATAATAAACATACACATGAACATAACTTCAGAGGCTGATACATTGATAAATTAGATCTTAAAAGTATCCTACTCGAAATACAAGTAATTAATCTTTATAATTTGACAGTTAATTAACAGAAAATTCTCGATTACTCCTTAAATCAGGATTCCAATTTTGATTACACCAGTATAATATTTATTTTATTCTAGGAGGTTTGTTCGTTTATTTACTTAATTATACAACAAATAAATGATAATGTAACATTAAGAACTATATGTTATCTTTGATTGTCGTCCAGCTTATCGTCGCGACTTGAATGGTCGCTACCTCGTACGTTGACTAGTCCTACGTCGAGTCACCGGTTGTCTAAAAAATGTTCACATCGAAAATTATTTTGAAAACTCTATTTAAATTAATTTATTTATGATATACTCTTCAAAATATGAGATCGAAATGTGATTTGATACGTTCACTGCGGTTCGAAATTTATGCATTTCTCGTTGCACACACGGATTATTCTGTATAAAACAATGTCTAGGCTACTTGAACTCCAATATCCGAGGAATCTAGTAGGCTACCGGAACTAGAACACTTTTGCTTCCACAAGCTTACTTCCACTAATCGTTCTATTAATCTCTCACTTAAGATGTCTCCCTTTTCTAGCAATTAAACAGTAAAGCTTCCTCACTGAAAACACTTTCGAAGACACTAGTGCCTTCTCGTACAAAAACCTGTAGCGTTCTGAACTGTGAAGTACACGCTTTCCAACCAGTCACTGTCTTATCGGTGAGATTGACAGGGTTAACAATAAAACAGCTCGGTGAACATTAAACAATCTCGTTTCGTATCGTACATAATAAGCCTAGTAAAATGAAACCAACGGAAACACCTTTTCTCGCTTCAAACTATAGGTACAACACCAATTTTCAACGTTCACTTGTCAAAGTACGAATCCTTATTAATATATATACATATATATCTAGAATAAAATATTTAAAAAATACACAATCCCTTATAGTGAAGCTTAATTGCAAGCAAAAGCACGTTACTCGAATCGAACGAAATATCCAGAAAGCAATGAGTATTATCAAACACCTCTACTCAAATTGACAACCAACCGAGTACCAACTACATAATAAACCGCATCACCAACAATACATAAAAATAGTTGCCACAGTTAACGTGTTTAAATATAGATTAAGTATAGATTAGAAACATGGCGGAACGATCTGTGTGTCCAACGAAACAGTCGCAGTTACCTTAGCCGTGAAATATAGAAAATGATTTGAACAATCATTTTACGCTACAACGATCATACGAAACCGAAAAGAATCAATTGTTACAATTTTTATAAGGATTACCTTCCTATTTTTTATAAGGATTACCCAATACGAAATTGGGTCTAATATGAGGGGTTAATACGGAATATTGCTCGATCAGTTTCATATGAAGTTAGTTTATTTTTAATTTTATTTTCTTTAATTTTATTAGTTGAATATTATTTATTTATTTAATATTTTTAATTAGAATATTAGTTGAATTAAATCGTTTACCTTTCGATTTGGCTGAAGGTGAATCTGAATTAGTTTCAGGTTTTAATATTGAATATTTTAGAAGAATATTTACGTTAATTTTTATATCTGAATAAATTGAAATTTTGGATTATTTGCAATTATTCATTTTTTCCTCATAAAAATCCTTATAAAAATTCTAACAATTCATTCTAGTTCTACCATTAACACGTTGACGTAAACGCCGTCTATCCATTCAATGCTCGCGAACACTTCAAATGACAATGGTCAATAAATCATAAACAAACATAAACAAATACAATAGTTTGATTCTAAAAGTATGAAATCTCGATCGAACTCTCCAAGAGCCATCTAATCAACAAATAAAGAGCTTTCGTTGTCCATCATCGATTTCACAGCGACCGTCAACGTGTTAACTAGCTGTCAGACATTTTTCTGTATACTCATTAGCTAGTCTCGTTAGACACACTATAGCGCGACTCATGCAAGTTGTTAGCTCTCGACACAGAGTCTGGAATCTGAACCTGGAGCTGCGGGGCGGACGTCTTTCGCGAGATGATCTGAATGTTCGATCGACCCCTACTCGAACTTTCGAAGGATCCCGTCGTCGACGCGCTGCTCGGAGGTTTCTGGCCGCCATTTTCGTTCGGATATGTATCCTGGGCCGGGCCAGTTGAACCGCTCAATTGGGCCGCCGCGGACGGCCCGAAGCCGGACCTCGCTGACGCGTACAACCCGCCTTCTGTGAAAATACGAATTTCCATGAAATACCGTGTGTTTTTGAAATATTTCACGATGGACCTGTGCCATAAATATTGTGAAATATATCAAATGATATTTCAAATTTCAAATTGCCACGTTGAGAAACACTGGATTAGATGATGCATTTGTCTTACTGGAAACAGAGATGAAAGGAAGGATGAGAATTGAGAAACCAATTAATCGAACGATACACGAATTGATATAAAATTAAATGAACAAAAGAGAACGCTGAATTTTAAATCCGGTCATTTGACCTCTTCGTCCTTGCTCCTCTTACTACATTCTTTCGCTGTCAACCTCTGTCTGGGTTTTATCAGTATTCCTTGACTTTCCTCTTCGTCTTGATTCTTTCTCTGTCTATCCACATCTTTCTTTTCCTACTTTTCTTTGAGAACGATCTACAGAGGAAAGTCAGTCCATCACGGACTTCGCTGATCCACGGAATATTCTGAATAAACTTGTGTTTAGGAACGAGTATACAGAATTGACGTCACTTACTCACCAATTCAGTATACCGTTTCGGGTTACAGTTTATAGACGCCTATAGACGCTAACGGTACACCAAGGCCAAATGTGTAACACTAGAAGTACCGTACCAGTCAAAATGACTGGTTCCGATTTTTTGTTTAGCAATTATTGATATCTTCGAAGCGTTGAACATTCGAAATGATATCGAAAATAAATAGTTTCATTTGAGTATTATAATGAATGTCTGAAGAAACTGAAAATAATCTATTGTTACAGTTCTTATAGGAATTGCATACTAATTGTATTAAATGCTCGGTAGTTCCAATGTTAACCCTTTGCACTCGAGAGGTGACTCTCAGTCACCACTTGATTCGATGCAGTAAAACTATAAAATTTGATATTTAATATTGAACTCTATAATACATCGGTGTATGAAATATGCGGATAAAAAAGCTTTGTGATTTCTCTTTGAGTTCATTTAAAAAAATATCGTCTTTGTACAGTTAGGAAACGTTAAGTATTTCCAGCGAAATACTTCCGAGTGCAAAGGGTTGAAACGCCTTTAGGCGCCAGCAGTAGCTGAGGAGTTAAGAAACATGTTGTACTAACTGGCAGTTCCATTATTGCCATCCAACGCTCCACCCAATCCAGCTGCGGCAGAGGCACCCCATGGTGTTCCGGCGCTCGCGTGAAGCCCACCCCCTGTCCCCGTTCCCCCTAGGATACCGCCTAATCCAGCTTGAGCGTGGAACCCAGCGAAATTGACTCTAATTCCACCATCGGTGAACTGCAGGAATGGAGGCTGCAACATGAATTGGAACATAATTAATTAGACCATAATTCCATTCGGTAACATTGTACTGTTCCCAATTCAATGACAATAATAATTAATACATTTCGATTTAACAAAATTGCAAAATGTTAAATATAATATTAAGTTTCTCATAATGCATCAATATGCGAAATATTTATATAAAATTTCTTAATTTACGTGTTTTCTCATTTGTTCGTTTAAAATAGTGTCTATGTATCATCGGAAAATGTCGAATGTTTCTAGTGAAAAGCCTTCGAGTGCAAAGGGTTAAAGTATAGAGAGCAAGGATGATAATTTTCTCGACGAAATGAAATCGATCTAATTTCATAAACGAGGAGGAAAAGAGGTCGAGAAATCTGTTATGAATTGAAATTAGGATTTCTCGTACACATGTTCATCAGTCATTCGTGACTGTCTCATGCGGAATGGTAACTCCAAATGGCGTCATCCGCGTGAAACGACGCTAGTGATTATGCAACGACGCCATTAGCAGATCAGCCCGCGGTTGACAGATCAGACGAACAATACGCCGTGTAATTTATATATGATTTCCCATGTAACGATGACAAATCCATCGATGCACGCGACGCGCAGAATTTTAATTATTACACAGCCGGCAAACATGATCGGCAACTGCGAGACCAGACGCTTCCGCAATCCTTTCTCCGGCCGCGGCCGCGTTTCTAGATTATCTAACGCTCTTCGTTGGAACTTTTCCTTTCGACTGTTTCCGCGCGAACCAGTTTATCCGTTCGCTGTATTCCCCGTTCCTACGGTGAAGAAGAAATAAATATTGAAGCAAACATTACTAAGCGCATCGATTAAAGATGTCTTCGACGCGGTCACGGTCTTCCATTGTATTGAAATGGTAACGAAGAATCGCGAAACTTCATCGAACGCGATCCGCGATTTTTCCGGCGGATCTCGGATAACGTTCGATTCACGGAATATTAATTCCCATCGCAGTATCCTGAACATTCTACGCATATCAATTAGCCGAATCGATTATTCCGCTACGCGTAATGTCGACCGTAGTGACAAGCAAGATTCGCAGGAACTTGCTGTTTCACGATTCGTCGGAGAAACGAAGGGAAAACAGCGTTTAATTAAATCGGCCAGACGCTGGAATGTTCTTTAATTCGCCGCTGTATTGTTCATCGATGATTAACAGGTTACTTAGAAACAAATAGAGTGTACTATGAAACAAGCAATGTTTCAGTTTCACAATTAACTAAAACACTTAGAAGCCGCGACAATTCCTAATTATCAATTCACTCGGTTACGCTGAAAGCTGATGATTCGATCGAACGATCCATTGACAATTCAATAATTAATTATTCGAAACTTCGATTGACGATTGGCATACAGTCTATGAATCCCCTCCAATCGAACGGCATAATACATCGAACTTTGTCATCTACAATTGAAAGCAAGCATCGCAAGTATCAACAGTCAACTTTTGAATCCTCGTCTGCAACAGGTTAACAGCCTCTTGCCGCATAATGACAAGACTTCTATCAAAGATCTTTACACAGCTTGCACGGTACAGGATCGATTTCCTTAATAGTCTCCCAGAAACATTTCCCAAACATCTGTTATCTCAATTGCAAGAAGAAGATAGGCCACTTCAATCTATCTGTTAATCCTACTGTCAAGCTTCTCATCGGAAATCTCCGAGTTAGAGCTTCGCGAAGGAACTTTTCAAAGTGAAATCATCAGACCGGATATGCTACCGATCGACAGAGCCTGTACTCACCGACGTGGACGACCCCGAGTTCCCTTTGATCGTGTCCTGCGGCATCCCTTCGGCGAGAGCTGCCAAACAGAGAGCAAACACGGTAACTACCTTCGCGCGCAGCATCATTGCGTCAACTGACTCGTGCCTCGGACTGTTGCCCGCGGTATCCTGCCGCTTTTTAAAAAGACCTCGAAAGGCATCTCGGTACTCACCAGCCGGGAAGGGAGAAGGTCTGACGCTGGGTCGAGAAGGATTCAAGTTTTACGAGCGCGCCGGCCGACTCGCGACGCGCGCCGACTGAGAAACTCGCCGTTCAATTCTATTGTATCGCGATAATCGTATACTCGAATCGCGCGCCGTGATTGCGGGGTTCAAGGCCGTTAGCCAGCCGACTAATTACAACCGTGAACCGTTCGTTTCCTGCTTGCCGCCGCTGCCGACGCCGATTTCATCCGCTCTCCTGGCGACGGATGCGGAAGGACTGACCGCCGAATGCAACCGAGTCGCGAAGATAACCGATATCATACATGCACGATGCAGCTTAATCATCCGATCCAGCGACACGTGATCCAGAAATAAAAACAAACTGGAAACGGTGTGTACGTGAGTAACCTGGTCGTTAAATACACCTCTAGCCATAATTATTGCATGGATTCTACTCTGTTCTCTGTATTTTTTGCGTTCGTCGCTAGGAAAAAAGGTGTTAATTGCTGGGTAACGAGCGGGTAGTCTGTTTGACGTGTTTGCGGCGGTATTTTGATGGTCGATTATTGTTTTTATATGGAGATTGTGCTGTTGCGAGGTGTTCTTGGAGGTTTTGGAGTGTCGCAGTGAGCGCGTCGCTGGAATAATTTCGCTCGACTTGAATTCGTGTACGAAGTTTTTCGTTGGGATTGTTTTATGGTGAGCGCGTGTTTAATTTGTGTTTTGTGGCGTTGGGCTTGAACTGCAAGGCAGATACGTGACGGGGCTTTGAATGTTGCGAGTTCTTGGGATGTTTCGAGAGAGAATTATGTTTCCAGTTTCTCAGTATTGCATGAGTTTAGTTTTCTTTGATCTTTCTTGTATGGTTTTTTTAGGATTGCTTTTGATTTTTGAACTTTTTAAAATGGAATGTGGTGTCAGTTGAAAAGTCAGTTTAGCAGCGTTGTAATTTAGCGTATAATATTGTCTCGAGCTGGCTTTCGAAAGAAGTTTATTACACTTTGTAATTAAACTGTGTGGAATAATTATGAACTGTAACCATTGCGCAAACGTGTATAAAATGTACGAACTGTTTCCTCGAAAAGTGATAGCACAGCTTGTTATCAAGAGAAATTTGCTGTCTTCCTTTTATATTGATAAAAATTCGATGGATTGCTGATTTAGAGGAAAACAAGTGTTCCAGAGACGCATTAGGAAATTGATTAACGTTGTATTTATAAAGATTCCGACGTAGACAACATTCTATCTCCATCGAAACGGAAACTGCATGAATTACTTTTTCTCTACGATTACTTCTGACCTCGTCGAATCACTTTTATTACATTCGGTTCACTGGAAACGTGTTATTTAATCACGATCGACACAACATGTCACTAAAACGACAAGCAGTTTTTGCCACTGTGTATCGGTATATTATCTCGTATCCATTTGGATGATTTCGTAATACTCAAACTGTTGATAAAAATTCAATTTTCCTCAATTTCGTAGAAATGCGTTGAGTGAGAGGATAAAAAGTGACCTCGAATTAAATTATACTATCGACGAATCGTCCACTAATTTAGAAAAGAAAATAATTAAGAAAAAAAACCTCATTGCTATACCTCGAACTTTCTTGTTCTCTTAATGAGTCCTACACAAATGTCCATTTGACATATCAAAATTATACTTTAAAATTGAATGCAAATGTAAGGCTGTGACATGGTCAAAAGTGATCTCGAATTAAGTTATACTAACGAATCGTTTAATAATTTACTAAGAGAAAACACTGGTACATTTCAATCTATCTTATTTTCTTAATGAGTCCTGTACAAATTTCCTTTTGACTTACCACAATTTCATTTAACCCTTTGCACTCGAGAGGTCACACTTGATTTTATACAACAAAACTATGAAGTTGAATATTTAACACGTTCACTGCCATGAGAATTTTAGGCATTCTATACAATATTCCTTATTCTTTTATAACAATGACAAATCTTGTAATAACCCATACACTGCCAGCATAAAATGTGTGATTTCATTTGTACTTTCGATTTATTTTGCTTTAAGATCCTAAGATCTTTCTTCGTCAACTCGAGCCCAAGCACCTATGAAAGGGGACCTAATAAGGTCACACGTGATTCCGACACTAACAAAGCATGACAAAGACAATTTGCAGAGTCTCGAATTAGCGTGGTTAACCGGTAGCAATTCCGTACCGCATAATTTTCTAAACGATGGAAACTATCGACGAGGAGCAAGAAGGAAAGTAAGATTCCGCGGAGAAACAGTCTTCTTCGATCAACGTTCCAGGAAATCAATCACGACAGAATCATCGCAAAAAAGTGACTGCTGAACCTGTCGCACGAACCGGGCAACGTGTTTTTGTCATTTCTGAGTAATAAAGTGAGCGAGGTGGAGGCAAAAAATTGTAGAAAATTGAGCACACGCGATATTCCGGGACCAAAGGTGAATCGAGTGTCTCTCCTCTCTCTTTAGAGGTTAGCTTCTTATCCTTTCAGATCCTTCGCGTGGCGAATTGAAATATAGTGTGTCCTATAACGAAGTGATTCTAAAGTCTCGATTAACACGTTGACTGCCAAAATCTTCAGTTTTATGTATCGTTGATTCTTCAAAGATTCTAACAAAGATAAAGAGGAACTGTTACTTATTATTTGATAAGCAATGCTTACGTTGCACTGTTATCTAGTAATCCACGCTATGAAATATTTCCATTCGACATTATCTAACAAATTATAACTATTGTCAAGTAATTTAAAAGTTCCGGTCATCGGTGATCGACGTGGCAGTCAACGTGTCTATAAGCCCGTGTAACTTTGAAGCCACACATCAATAGACTGGGTAAAATTGATTTATGTAATTTTCATTGCAAAACGACGAATGACGTTAAATGATTAATCAACTTAAACTTTCATACACGCAGGCGTTTACGTTCAACGTCATTGTAACTTCGAAGTTACAAAATATATTCGTTTTAATAAAACTGTTAAAACTATCGAATAAATTTTTAATTTGTGTTCATATATTGATATTTATTAATTTCATACTGCATAAATTTTGTTATAATCACGTAAAAAAATTCGGTTCCGAGAGGGTTAAACATTGATCCTGAAATGTTGTTGGAGTTAAGGATACATTGTTAATAAGGAACACGTAAATATGAAACAAACGAAGATATTAAATTTCTATATATCGTACGTTTAATTTATTATCATATGTAAATTTGATATAATGAGCACATTTATAGAATTTATGACAAAGTTGATTGCATCATTACATCGTGGGACACGGTAGAAACGTTTAAATAATTGTCCTCCAAGATTTCCCATTAAAGTACACGTGTATTCATAACTGGCAGCGAGGTACCGTTAATACGAAAATGTTTTCTTCGATCATCTTTCAGGAGCGTCACGCATACAATTAACGTTAGGATCACCGAACTCCCTAGTATTTTAATGATCGGCTTGTGGATGCGACGTGACTAGTTAAATTTCGTACGTTTCCGTTATAAAAACACACCGTGAAAGGTACGAAGCAAATGGTTCCTGTTTCCATCAAAGCGACCGTTCGACGTGTGACCAGCTAATGTGAATCATCCAACCTTGCGCGCACTGTGTTTCTCATGCGCATGACGAGACGTTACGATAACCTGGATATTTTAATAGCCCGCCACTGTCTAATTGCCGTTTTAGCGACGGTGACGCTTGTGACGAAAGAAAATGGCGAACGCTCGTTACAGGTAATGTCGTAGTCTTTGCAACAGTGCGTGAACGCAATGTCCTTTGATCTCGGAATGGGAGAATTCCATGGTGTTAGAAAATTTCGAGTGTATAGAAAATTGTCGGGAAATGTTGAGTCAAGGAACTGATGAATGTTTGATCTTTTATATCTGGGACTGTGAGATAAGATGTTTTACACCAGTTACATTACACCAGTTATAATAGTAAATATTTTAATGAATCAAAGATACTACCCTAAAATTATTCGATTTTCCACACGTTCAAGTACTAAGGAAAATAAAAGATAAAAGAAATGTTATAGCATTTCTCATTTTCGCTAGGAATACTATAAAAATTAGTTGCAGTTGCTGATAGGTTACAGAACAACCTGGAGTGCTAAGGATTCAATTAAATATTAAATGTTAAATTGATATAGTTAGATTATTTATGACATGAACTTCTCATACACACATAAATATATCAAAAAAAATGATGAGCTGCAAAAATAGAAAAAATGCGAACGCCGTACTCCGAGGGTTAAAGTGCATAATGATTTCAAGAAATTCAGACTATAAAATTAAATTCATGACAATGTGGTTTGTAAATTTCAATGTTATAGCATTCATGTCATTTTGCATCACAATGGAAACGAATGCTATAGCATTCACGTCTATGAACGTGTTAATTATAATAATTAACTATTATACATTATTATAACAATTAACTATTATATATTATTGTAATAATTAACTCCAAGTGGAATGAATCCGCATATTCAATGAAATCACTATCTCCGTACAAACGAAAAAAGATGAATGAATTAATAATAAACCTATAAATAACTCTAAGGAAATTGTTAAGGTCAAAACTGCTGACATCAATTTCCATGCTGCATTGCACAACTCGCGACTGCTAGAAGCAGTTCCGAACTTTTGCGCGGTAAGTTTGGGAAGGTTGCCGAGGTAAGTCAACCACAATGAAATTTAATGTACCCTACAAAAACAAAACGTGCACTCTCGGTATGGCTGACGTAAATATATTCAAGAATAAAGTGTTTACCGAAACAGACGTGCGTTTAAAGCTGCATCTCAATTAGCTGGCCGCGGTGTCGCGGAAATTTTTGGTGATGTACGCGAGTGGATTCAGGAAACATAAATCTCGCGCGATTTTACGCGTCTGATGATTCAGATTTACGATATTTCGTTGCAGTCACTGTTCACAGTCTGTCACAATAGAATCATTTCTCGAATGACTCGGCTCGACATGGATTCCGTCGTTTCCTTTACAAACATTTAAATGTATCTACTAAATTGGCTATGTAATTGTCTATCATATAATTCTCATGTAGTAGATCTATCAATTTATGCTGTTTATTCTATCATATTTACAAAAAACACTTCACACTGTAAAAACTAAAAATGCACTTTATAAAAATTCAGTTAAAAATGGAAAATCAAATTTCTGATGCTTCTTTCTCGAAATTAATGAACTTGTAAAATTTTTTTAATGAGTCTGTCATTGGCACACTGTTTTTACTTCTCTGTCTTACAAACATGTATTCCCAAATTGTAAAATGTCTGTGTTTTACGCGTGTTATCGAATGGGAAATCGCCAACATGTCTGTTCATGGTTAACCGTTTTTACTTTCGGTCTTCTCAAGCGAAGAACAGAACCGTTTAATGTTGGTACACAGCGTCTATAAAGATGCAACATTCCATGTCCTTGCTGTAACTTATAGACTATAGTTAAGTGGAGTACACTTCCTGCATAAATTTTCATGTTCAATGTCTTGTCGTTGGAGTGAGTATACTGTTGCATGCAATTATAGTTTCTATGAAGCATTGTTAAAGCGAAAGAATTACTACTCTGACGTGCGTGTCGTAAGTATTATGTTATCACGTACGTAGTTAGATAAATTTTAAGATACGTCCTGTAAAGGTCGCGTTAACATTTGTAAACGGCACTCTGTATTTTCTATTTAATAGTTTTGAACTTAACATTCGAATGGTCTCGGACTTTACATATTAATTTGTAATATAGAATACACACACACACACAATAATAATAATAATATATATAATATAATAATATATATAGAAAACTATAAAATAATTTTATAATTTTATAATTTGATGTAAATCAATTTAAAATAATTTTTAAATAGAGCCATCTAAAATTTTAAAGTGACCTTTACAGGATGAGCCATTTTATATATATGTACAGCACAGTATGTTCTATAGTGTGTTACACATATATAGAATTAATAATATATGAAACATTGATATATGAGCATCCAAAGATAACTGTTCTCCAGCAGCGGCGATATCCAGGATCCTTCCTTGCTACGATGGATAACCGAACTTTGTGGGTAAACGCGTAGAACGTCGTTTATCGATCGAGTCGCCGATTCATATCTCAGATCGCAGACGTTGCAGATTAAGATATTTGTGTGCTTATAAATCAAATAAATGAGGTTCATTTAGATAACCCCTTCTAAATTTAAAATCCAATTCGACAAATCTAAATCTTACTCCCTTATCCTTAACATGAATTAAATATTACCTGTGCATTATCAATTTTCAACTCTTACAGTAACCATAGCTACAGAACCATAGAATTCTTGTCTTTCTCTATTAATTTATTAACGAAGTCTTATCAAGCACAGCTGTGAAGGAAATTATAAGACAAAGGGATAACGGAGTTTGATATTAATCAGGATGGTATATTACAATTAATAACACCAGCAAATGAAACTGCAAAAGAACAATTGGAACGTAATACGAAATTTTAATAACTTTTGAAGCAAACTGCCAGAAGCTTAACACTAGGTTTACGGGCATTTATTGTACAGTTTATTCTATTGTTCCTGGGGAAGTTGATATTCATTTAGATTTTGGAAATTTTTGATGTAGAAATAGACAATCAGGATTCATATTCGTGTAATTAATGAAAACCGATTGAAACATTTACCAAATAATGTTTATAAAATTCAATCTACGTCAAATTGACTTAAACCTAGTGTTAAAGGTACTAGACACACGGAAGAATGACCTTAACGATACATTCGAAGGTCATGAAAGGTTGCCAGTTTTCCAATTACTACAGATCCTCTTTTCTAAACAACTTCTTCGCAACATATTTCAAGCTGTTGAAAATCGCGAGAACAAATTTAACCGTTTACCTCTCGAATTATCGAGATAATCAGAACTCTTAATACTGTCTCTACAAGTCTTTCATGCACACTATTGCGATTCATCAATTCGTTTCCCAGTTTCTTCACGTTTCACGAGTCGAACTTTATCCTGTTGCTCCTCGGGGCGATTTTGTTCTCTATCGGAGGATCCTCGTACTCTAGCCTGTTGTTCACTCCAGTGTTCGGCGCGGCTTCAGCCTGTATCCTGTTCTCGTAATTGTAAACGATCGGTTTCCTGTCTTTCGGGGCGATCTTGTTCTGTATCGTTGTGAACGTGCTCGTCGGCCGAGACCCGTGATACGTTCCGATACCGGCGGTGAGTCCGTGCCACGTGTACGACGTGTCCTCTTCCACGTTCTCGTGCACCTCGTAAGTGTGCTGGCCGTTGTTCACGCTGCCCTGGCCTCCGTGGACGCCTGGAAATATATTTTCATTCACTGTTTCGGATGAACACATTTTCAATGTGTGAACACGCCGTGAAAACGCGGGATTCTGAGTCTATCGCTCGAGCGCCGGGCCCGGAATAATGATTTCTGGATTTCCATTTCTGGATGTGACGAATATGCGATTAACCAGTTAACTGTGGAATTTAGTTGGAAAAACCGATTCCACCGATAAGAAGGTCGTCGATCTACAAACGATATAAAACGAGAAAGAGTCATCGAAATGTACACGGCTGTCGTCGGAACCTTGTGTCGCTCGTGAAAATCGACTATCTAAATGAAATTCCCGCGTTCGTTGTATCCTTCTTTGACACACGCGTACTCTTTACAAGTATTGAAGTAACTCGGTCGCTACTGTTTATCACACGATCAGTTCGAACCGTAATTGCTACGTTGGTATTCCTTATGACTACTGTTTGTCGTCTACGTCTGTTACCTGTCATTTCCGTTTCCCATGAATCCTATCACACACTTTCCCACGAACTTCAAATTGTTATCGGTAGTATTTACAATTTACAAGTAAAACGTAACTGACCGTTGTATTTGCAAATTGCTCGGAAAAGGTCGAAACGAATGGGACGTTTTCTTGTCGATGCAATGGATCAACGTGCAATAATTGGAATACAATAATCGATTGCGTAAGAAACGTCCGGTTTTCTATAAATATATTCCTTATTTGTACTTTCTTTTTGATTATTTTCTATATATACTGTTGTATTTGCTGTTTTAAGTTGTCGATTAATGATAATAGGAATCGTCTTCGTTCAGTTTGTACATTTTACGTGTCGCAATTCTCGTGATCAACAGTGCGCATAGGCAAACAGGTGAAATATTTACCATGATTTCCATTACCACCATGACCACCATGCCCACCATGACCCATGTGCCCTCCATGACCACCGTGACCACCATAACTACCGAACAAACCGTGATTACCAACCAGAAGATTCGACAGCGCGTTCAAACCGAACGGATCTTTATTCGAAAACTTGATGGTTCTTTTAGTCTGCTGCTGTTTCAACCGTTGCTGTTGTATCTGATCGCGTTGCTGCCTCTGTCGTTCCCGCTGCGCCGCCAGTCTGTCCCTCCTTTCCTGTCGTATTCGCTGATACTCTTCCGCATTCTGCGCCCTTTGCCCCGACGTCGATTTAACTAGATTTCCAACCGCTTCGAGAGTCGATATTGGAATCTGGAGAAACAGAAGGAATTTCCCGCAGAGGAACGCTACTGAGTTTATGAACCTGAAAGGTTATTTATTTATTGCATACCTGCAGGACGTTGCCGATCGTCTGCGAAGTTTCCGGAACGAAACCCTGCGCCGCGACTGCAGTCTGTCTGATCGCTGTGATCGGGATCTAATAAAAAGATTGTATTTAGTAGCAGTTAACTGCGTGGAACGTGGGAAATTTGGTTTCGAGCGTTGGTGTCAAAGGAAAGTGTGTGGGAAACATGGGAAATGGAAATGAGGAAGATATGGGACATGTGGGAAATGTAGGAAGTATGGAAAATTTGGTTGCCAGCGTTGGTGTCAAAGGAAAGTGTGTGGGAAATGCGGGAAATGAGGAAGGTATGGAAACTGAAAATATCGGACATGTGGGAAGTATGGAAAATTT